GTAAAACAGATTTCCATGAGATTGATCGCGTGAGTGAAGCTCAAAAAAAATTATGCTGTAAGACGTAATGCCATTCGCAAAGGGAGTGCAAGGGACGATCGCTAATTGTACACTAAAACTGAGATCGAGATCAATTGTTACCCAATTGCAGGGGACGAATGCGATCTGTACTCAAAATCGGAGATCGATGTCGATCAGTACCAAATCGTGAGGGCGATCGAGATCCTAAGTTCAGGAATTGATAAGAAAAGGCGATGATCACAATTTACGTTGCTAAAGGCTAAGATAGCCACAACTCAGATATCAAAGCATTTCGATCCCGATCGATCGCCTGTGATCGTGGTGTACGCTGGCAAGTGGGCTGTATCTCCTGTTTTGCGTCAAGATGTTTTGTGTTGTCCTGTCACTTTATCGAATCGTACGATGTATCCAAACGAGTTCAGCTACGGGCGGCGCAGAAAGAAGTGTTATCTCTCCTCTGGATTCTCTATATCTGCTAAATCTGCTGGTATACGGTGAGACTTAAGTTCTTGCACAATATTCGACACTAGCATGGTTCTTACAATGTCAGGGTTCAACAGAAGATTGGCAATATGGTCTGCCTTCCTATCGAATAGGACGTTAGATATCAGGCGATCTGACTTGGGAGAAGATGAACGAATCGGCATGCTTGCAGCACGTATAGCACCTCGTGAAGAAGTAGATGAAGTATTAATTGCGATCGTCCTTAGGAAGTAGCCAAGGCAGACGATAAGCATGCCACCTCCTACAGGAGGTGTGAACAAAAATTTATCAGAACCCAGTTTAGGTGGATTAGTCAGGGTGAAAAGAAAGAGCGGAGCATACAGCGCGATTTAATGGAAACTGCTAAAATTGGACGATTGTGGCTGCTGATTATATCTTTACCCCTTCTCTATCCGTAAATTAAGCATAATACCAAGGGCTGTTTCTTGGTCTTGATCTGCTTGCTAATAAGGCGATGGACGGATGCTTATCTGAGAAAATTCGAATGCGGTGATCCGTCAAGTGCGAGGAGAAATGGATTGTGAGGTGCCGGGACTGCAGATGCTAAGGCATAAAGCTGTAGGGAAATTAGAGATTTGGCCCTCTCACAAGCTCTTGTTCAAAAAGCGGAAATAAATTAGAGTGCAGATAGACTGTAGAGTGAAGCTTCACGGCAAGAGAAAGAGGCAGTTTTGATTTCCAATCCAGAGCGGCAGGACCAATTTAATCTAAATCGAAAATAAACAAATTGCTACTGTTAGAAAAAGTTGACCGTGCGGTCAAAGTAATGGCTATCACATTAGCAGACCAGAGATGACAATTTCAGCCCAGCTTTTTACAGCAAGATGTTGTTCAGAAGATAATAATTGGTAGTACTTAGCAATTACAAGGCGTAAAAAGTGAAACATCCAGTCTGAAGATATGATTGGCTGGAGACGTGGCCAAAGTAATTGGCAGCTTAAGCTAAGGTTTGCACCCTGATTGCACCGGAAAATAGAAATAGACCAAAGCAGGCTGCTTTTGTCGGTCTGAAATGGGCCACTAAAGCTAAGGACCGTATTTAACTGGCTCGTAAGGTGGTTCCAAAGAAGCTAAAGTGAGATTGCTCGCACCACTACCACACGACTTTAGAAGATGGCCAATAATGAATCTGCCGTACGTATCAACGAATTAGAGGGATACTTTTACTGGCTTGGGTCGTGTTAAAGTATTTAGCGGTATGAGGATAGTGTGTTGATTGTGAAATAGGTAAAAGACGAACGATAGATCGAAAAATGTTATCTGGTAATACGCAATTGACGTACCCTTTTCAGTTATGGGCTATAGATCAAATCCTTCGTTGCCATGATCCTTGAAGAAAGCTTCGAGATGTTGCTGTAAGCCGGTTTGCTCTCAGGATATGTGATTGCAAATGCAACCTCGTTTGGATTTCTCCAGACGATCGCAGAGAATTACGAGGAGTTCGTGTTAAAATGATCCTGTGCAAGTAAGGCGGTACGCCATGGTTGCGAGCCGAAATCTATTTCTGTTTTTCTGAAGCGTATCATCGTATCGTGGGACAAAACAACGGGTCTCTGTGGTGTACAGACCGCAAGCTAATGGTACAGTCGATCTCAAGGTGCAGACGCTGACTCAATCAGTCAAGATGCATGTCATGGATGAAAATCAAAAGGACTGGGACGAATATGCGGAGCGGTTGACCTATGCGATGAACACTGATCAAGATCGAATTTGAGGAGATACGCCATTCTAAGTGATTCATGGATGGGACCCAATATCGACCTTGAAAGCAATTTAACCGTTGGAAAGTACCAATCTTTGGGATCGAGATGCCCAAAGATGAAGGTATGGTATTCATCACCAGCATCAACGTGATCGTGCAGTAGTGAATAAACGATTGGACGTTGTAATCAGAGGTCGAGTTGAGTAACATAATGGAGGGCCGCGAGTTTGGCTAAATCTGGACCCAGTCAAGGAAGGATATGCTTACAAGCTAGACCATATGTGGCATGGACATTTTCGAGTGACCGAGAAATGCGGCGATCACGCCGTAAAGTTGGATATCGCGTGCACGCCGTACCGATAATTTCCGACAGTTCACGTGCCTCAGCTGGAGCTAGTTTGCGCATTCCTAGAACGCCCAACGGGTGGGTTGAATGTGGATGAAGCGAGTCGGTTTCCTTTGATGAAGCACTCCTGTATTAAGATAGTGGGGGGGTTGTCTCGACGTGGACGAGTTTGAAGTCGAAAAGATGATCGATGTGCGATAAGAAAGGAAGACGAGATATGGCCGAGTACACAAGCCGTATTTGATACTATGTAAGGAGTACAGCTACCCGACTAAATTTGATGAAGCCGATCTAGAACCCAACGAGCAAAGCGTGTGCCAGTCTAACTACCATAAGAGTGCGCGTGCCCGGATTCGAACCAGGGATTTCACCGCCACAAGGTGAGGTACTGACCACTATACTACACACGCCTGGAGAAGCAGGGAATCGATCCCTATACCTCTCGCATGCTAAGCGAGCGCTCTACCATTTGAGCTACATCCCCCGATGACCACTGTTTCCCGCCAGCAAACTAATCTAGATAGTGGAGCTATGTTGCTGGATTTTGTTCGAAATCAGATGAGCTTCAATTGTTTTAGGGTGCTGTAATCGCACAAAGGAGAATCCAGAAAATAGTGATGGATGGAGAGCTTGAGTGGATTGATCTTTGCATGGAAGTAAAGGATAGCTATAGGTACAAAAAGGTCTTACATGGAGATGGACTGGTAATTCTGCAGATTGAGTACGAGGATTGCAGACCTGGTAGTGCGATTGAGATGAAAAGACACAAAAACGATGAAAGAAACACGAATTATGGGAGCGATCGAATAGGAATGAGAATCAGTAAATTGGGAGATCAGATCATGGAAGAGACCAGTGTATAAGTCGCGGTCCAAGATATTACCAACCAAGAGTAGAAAAAACGACCCAGGATGGGATGCGATTGAAAAAAAAACTAATTCCTTCAATGATCGGTAGCGTGATCGATCGACAAGGCCGTGTTAGGTTGGCTATTTTGGTATGCCGCAAGGATAGGCCGAGATTTCACACTCTAACCTTATTCGGACGGGGAAGAGCCTGAAGCTTCCGGTGGACCTGGGCAGGTAATCGACTGAACACCAGAGGCGTTTATGAAGAACGACGCACACAAGCAAAACTACGGAGATGGAGATTACAACTGAAGAATTACACAGATACACCAACAATAGATGTCTGTCATCAGCACAGAGGACAGCTGTGGTAACGCGATTGAAGCAAAAGGGGATGATAGTTGGGTGGAGTGATCTCAAACTGCGATGGTCCATTAGATACAGATTGCTGTTTAGCTGCAAAAAGGAGTGAATTGTAAAAATTAAGTTTGACGAGACCCCACACCGCTCCGCCCACTGTGCTGTACCGCCGACTGTCGGAGGGGGTTTCCCGATGCCGCTTATGGACCTTGACCCACCTAGTGTACCCTTCGGCTTGTCAGGTTCACTCTTAGAAGGACTTGGTTGTGATGTGGACTTCGGCCTTGATGGAGGTTGACCTGGGGGCCCGAGCGGATATGCTTCAGTCGGCGTCCAATTTAGACGGCCAATCGATCGATTTGGTCAAGAGTGGTCTTATAAACATTTGTCTCAGGCGCTGGTAGCGCCCGTCCTTCACTTGTGTCAGGGGTGTTAACCGCCTGGCCTTAACGTGTCTTCTCTATTACCCTTAGGGTATGGAGACCGCTTCCTATAGCGGGCTTGGGTTGGGGGTAATACTCTACGAACCCACAGGCCAGTACACTTCCTGGGGTTCTACTTACACTTGGGTCTTACTGACAACTGTCTATTCGACGGGTGGGCCAAATAGATCCCTGCCCCGGAACAAGTCGGTAGACTTACAATTTTTCTTAGCGCACGACACGTCGTGCTACTTCGGTCGCAAATTGAGTGGTCTTTAATGTTGTCTAATCCTCTAAACTCTTTTAACATATCTTTGCCTTGCACTTAGGCTCGCAATGATGAGTGACCAGGATCCACCAGACCTTGAGGGGCTAGTTCGGCCGATAAGTGGCCAGGTCGGCCTACAAAGAACCGAGGTTCACCATAGGCGACCAGGCAGACCGACGAGTGGTTTAAGAATGATTCACATCGGTACCGTTTAACTGGTGCTGTCAATCGGTGTGGCCTTGTTAGTGGTAACCTTAACAACCCGTCACGGTTGGACCCAACGGCCACTCTTTCCTTGTAACTTTTAGGTCTCTGGTCCCTTTTCCGGCCGCGAGGTTTCATGTCCGTTAAGCTAGTTGACCTATAGGTCCATCATTTTTGAAACGTCTCTTCACCACTGCCTTCCCTAGCATTTTCTCAACCGTACAGCGGTTCGAGTAAGATAATGTCTTCACCATGCCATTTCCGTAAGTTCCGCCTTCTCCTGTGGCCCAGATCTTGCCACTGTCTTACCTCTTTGCTTGCAGCCATGTCTTCATCGGGATCCGATTCACCATCTGAAAATCCAGTTCCGACTCCTTTGACACCACCTGCAACCTCGGCAGAGGTCTCTGCCCAGGCAGACGTAGTCGCAGCATCGCCTGTCATCTGCAGTTCTTCAGATTCGTCATCGTTGGTGAGCGCAGGAGAGGTCACCGTGACCACGCGGTCGACTTCGCCACCGGTGGAGTCGGCCCCAGTCACCTTCGGTGTGGGGTCGCCTTTATTCGTGACAGCTGTCCGTGTCGCTCCAAATGATTTCTATATGATCCCACCGAAGGATCCCTTCGACGGCCGTCCTCCCATGAGCGTATCATTCGATGATGTGGTGGCGTTGTCTTGCCGTGTCAAGGCCTGTGAGGGTCGATTTTCCCCGATGTCTGCGTCACCACATTACTGGTCGCTCCGATGTGAGCACTTGCAACGGTAGTTAGGTTACTACAGATCTCTCGTGTCGCATCTTCGCGAGAAGCTGCAGCATGAGATGGTGATGACCTACCACTGGCTACAGCAAGTCAAACTTTAAAATAGTCGGATGCCCCTCCTCGTTGCAGAGCTCAGTCACTCTGATTTCTCGGGCGAACATCTAACGGTTAGCTCTAGTGTCGCTTAAGGGACGGCACAATACTCGACTATAGGCGATCGACCCCCTGTTCATGCCGCCAATAAGCGGTCTTTGCGGAAGTCTTTTCGTACCTCAGCCCAACCGGCATAGCGGGTGGAGATGAGCGCTTCGGACGTTCCGATGGTGAAGAAGCCAGTTGCCAAGCATTTTGGGGAAGCTGCGTCGACGATCTTCCCGACAACTTCTGATGTAAGTCTCAGTTCCGATAGCGAACGGATCCGGGCTGACATGGTGAGATCTCATTTGTCCCGTCGTCGGCTGAAGACTGCGCCTATGCCTTTATCTTCGGCTACAAATCCCATGCCGAAAGCTTCTACCCCACAGTCTCTTGACTAGATCTTGTCCGGCTCGTCCAAGTCCGAGACCGAGCTGTCACATCTGAAAGAGGGTGACCACCCAGCGGCTTGCAGTTACGTTGTGTCAGCCAGTGAGCACCTGCTCCCGCAAGAGGTCACGATTCTGGGGAGACTAAGGCAAGGGTCTTCCAGCCAGAGAAGTGGCGCCTTGGTCGTTCATTCTGATAATTTCCTGGTTGCTCGTTACCATGACGCCGGGTGACCTTACCGAACAATTGGAGTTGCCTTGGGGTTGGTTCGGCCTGCCGGGTGAGAATCTCGATCGGCCATTATATTGAAATTATTCGCAGGTCACTCCCCCTGTAACGGGGTGAATCGTTACATAATAATTTATAAGAAATTGTTAATAGAATATAACTATAAGAGTTATATTCTCAGAATATTGTCATAAGGACAATATTCTGTAGCACTTCCAAGTAGTCCCTAATTGGTTGATATAGGCCATTATATCAACCAACGAAGACGCGCCACGACAGACGCACGCAATGAGTGGTGAGCAGATAACTGATTTACACATTTGTATTTAGACATAGTTAGATGAAGATAAATAGTGATTTATTGCAGACATTAACTATTATAAATACAGTTCTACTTTTTACTCTAACCAAGTACTCGCTTCTTCTTACCGTCTTCCTCTGCACGTACGAGTGTACGTGAAGTTACGAGGCACCGCCTTATTCTGTTATCAGAATAAGTAGCTTGTACTGTCACCAGTACAAGCTTCAGGGTGCCCCGTTACACCTGGTAGCACTTGTTGGTCCGTCCAAGGACCGCGTTCACATCCAACATATTCATGTTGGATGATGAAGATGACCAAAGCTTTCACGCTACGCGTGACGGCTACTCCCATTTGAGCGATGTCGAATGGGATGCGGTTGAACGAATGGGTTCGACCATGGGCATCCATGCTGTTAGCGTCATGCTAGAGGCTCTCAATAGAGATGCCCAACATGCTACTATCGCCAAGTTCATTCAAAATGAACTTGACGCAGAACGCGAGAAAGTAGCCTTGCTTCACCAACAAGGTTCTCAACAAGCAGAGTTGTTGAGAGAACAAGGTGCGCAACAGTTTGAACTGTTGAGACAGCAGCAGGCTGCTGCTGGCGGGTCGATGCACTCGCGTCGGCCCGAGACTTTGAAGATTGACATCTCAAAGTATAGGGGGTCGAAGAAGACTCCCTCTTGAGATGGTTCGTCGAATTGGATGACGCCATAAGGGCGCGTCGCATCGACGACGGGGATATGCAAGTTGCATTTGCCCAGTCAAATCTGGCAGGACGTGCCAAGACTTGGGCACTGGGGCTCAAGCTGCACGACCCATACGCGTTTGGGTCGTTGGAAGTCTTCAAGTCGCGGCTCAGACAAACGTTTGAACCGCCTAGAGCTGAGTTCAGAGCTCGAACTGAACTCTTGAAGCTCAAGCAGGGTAAGCGTGATGTGCACGCTTACGCTCAACATATACGACATCTCACGAGTTGTATAAGTTCCAATCCGGTGGATGAACACACGTTGGTTTCGGTGTTCATGCAGGGTCTTGCGGATGGTCCCGTCAAGACTCACCTGTTCCGGCTTGAACTAGATTCACTAGAACAAGCCATTTCCATTGCGGAGCAGGAAGACTTCAGTCTGAGACAGGCTCGCGCCAGCTCGACATCATATCGTCAACCGAGACGATATGACAACGGAGGTCCAGAGCCGATGGAACTCTGTTATGTAGAGAGCGAGAAGGCTCGCTCTACAGGCTACAAGAAGTTGCAGAGATGCAACAGATGTCAAAAGACAGGACACTACGCTTACGAGTGTAGTGCCCCTCGTCCAGTGTCTCGCGACACTGGGCGTAGTGACCGTCCACCCATGAGAAAGGGGCAGGGACGAGGGTCCGCTGTTGGTGCAAAGACGCAACAACGGGATGGACCGTCAAAAAACGGACAGGATCAGTAGGTGCGGAGCACCCTACTGATCCAGCAACGTCAAGAGAATTTGTAGGCCTCTTGATGAAGGTTGCTCCCAACACACAGACATTGTGCGTTGCTGCTCTAGGTAATGAGATCTCACTCATTACCTTGAAACTCGAAGTGACGAATAAGTTGTCCCTTCGAGCTCTAGTCGATTGTGGGGCGTCCAACAATTTTGTGCGACGCCAATCGCTAGAAGATGGTCACTTTAAATTCAGTGAATGTGACACACCTCCTACGAGGATGACGGTACGTCTTGCGACAGGCGCATCCGTAACCGTCATGAAGCGTATAGTGAAGATTCACTATACGCTAGAAGATACCCAATACGACGATGACTTTATCGTATTGGATTTGGATGACAAATTTGATGTCATCCTTGGAATACCGTGGCTCAGAAGGTACGAACCACGGGTAAACTGGCAACATCGGACAGTAACGATGCCTGCCGCTTGTTCATCAGATGGCCATCTGATGAACGTTTTGGAGCGTCCACAAGCGTGTGGATGTACTACGAGTGAGTGCGATGGCCTCACTTGTGGTACGGTCGTTAGTACGACTGCACAAAACCTTAGTGTACCAAACGGTTACACTTCGGAGCAAAGTTCCGGCGGCTGTGAGGAAACACAGGCTGCGCCGAAGGTCCACCACTCGAATAAGTCGGGTGGACTGGGACAAAGATGTATCCCTAGAGGGGAACATCTAGAAGAGAAACAATCGATCGCTCAGGTTAAGCGAAACGATAATCCTAGATCGACTGGAGAGTCTTTCGTAGAGGATCTCGCTGTGGTTGCGCAACCCCAGCTAGAGGAAGTAAAGGGAATAAGTCCCAAGATTACAAATACGGCGGAAATAAGTTCCCCGAAACCCGCGGGAATAAGTCCCCGGGAAGACGAAGGAATAAGTCCTTCGAAGCCTGAGGGAATAAGTCCCCAGGAAATGACAGAGACATTGAATGTCATAGTCAATAACGGATCATGTGTAGGCGCTTATACACTTGATCTGATTGCGCCTCCGAAGTTAACTTCGGAGATCACTCAGTTGCCAACGCTCGAACATAAAAGATTCTTGCGTGATCTGCGTAGTGGCAAAGTCAAGCAGATCTGCATACTCGTCGCTGAAGACGAGTATGTAACCGACATAAGGTCAGCAACAGTGTTTACTGAGAACGAGAGAGTTCTCAGTAGTTCATCTATGGACGAGAGTGCCCTAGATGAAAAGACACGAATTGAGCGATATGACTCCCAATCATGGGAATCGCTCAAGAAAAATCCCTCTCTATGAAGATTTGGTTGAATTCAAGGATGTATTCCCTGAAACTGTTCCGTGCGAATTACCGAAGGATAAAGGTATTCGACACGAAGTCGAGCTTAAACCAGGCTCGAAGTACTGTGTCATGAAGCAGTGGCCACTGCCTCGTGAACAGTACTTGCGATCGACAAGTTCTTTGCCGATCGTTTAGCAGCGGGCCATGTGAGGGAATCAACTTCCCCACATAGCTCTCCGACCTTCTGTGTGCGAAAAGCAACAGGAGGGTGGCGGATAGTGCACGCGTTTAACAAATTGAACGCTGCAACGGTACCGGCTCAGACGCCGATACCGAGGAAGGACGTAATCATTGATGGTATGTCAAAGAGTACCATCTTTTCGTCCATGGATTTGATGGATGGCTTCTATCAAATCCTAATGCGGGATCGGGATATACCCTATACCGCAGTTAGCACGCCTAGCGGCATGCTCTGGGAATGGCTAGTAATGCCACAAGGGCTCAGTAATGCCCCTGCCACGTTCAACAGGTGTGTATCACATCTGTTGAGGCCAGTACGAGAATTCGCGCCGAGTTATTTCGATGACGTATTCATCCATAGTCGAGCTATGGATGGAAAGTCGGACGTTGAGGTTCACAAGTACCACGTCCGACAAGTTCTTACAATCATGCGAAAGCATCAATTGTATGCAAACCTCAAGAAGTGTATATTTGCAGCAAGCGAAATACCACTTCTTGGGTGCATCGTTGGTAAGAACGGTGTACGTCCTGATCCCGAAAAGATCAAGGCGATCACCGACTGGCCCGTGCCGGTCGATGTCAAAGGTCTTCGAAAATTCCTTAGGCTAGCGGCGTATTTGCATAAGTATTCACGCAATTACGCCGAGATGACTGTGCACCTCTCTCGTTTGTTGAAAAAGAACGAGAGGTGGTTATGGAACGCTGAATGTCAACGCTCCTTTGAGGGTATCAAGCAGAGCTTGATACAATCCCCAGTCCTAGCAATAGCCGATCAGGACAGGCCATTTCATGTGGTCTGTGATGCCAGCGATTTCGCAATCGGCTGTGCATTAATGCAGTACGACCTTGAAGGCGTTGAACGCGTCGTCTGCTATCAGTCGCGTCAGCTGCAACCAGCTGAGCGGAACTATCCAGTGCATGACAAGGAACTCCTTGCCATGAAGTATGCACTCGCGAAGTTCAGAGTCTATCTATTAGGAGATAGACCCTTCGTTGTTTACACTGACCATGCGTCCTTACGCACGGCAGTGAACAGCCCGCACCTTTCACAACGAATGGCGCGGTGGTTGTCATTCTTTGCAGAATACAACTTTACGGTCGAGTACAAACCAGGACGACTTAATGTCGTCGCTGATGCACTCTCACGTCGTCTTGACTTTGAAACAGTCGCGAAACCCAACAGTGAGACAGTCACTGTTGCGGTTATGACGTCCTCAGTTCCATCTACAACGTTGTATGATGATGTGAGGCGGGCATACGCCCAAGATGGTGAGATAGTGAAGTTGTTGTCACATCTCTCCCAACCATCTCGAGAATCGTTGAAACGATTGTCGTCTGCGTATCGATCTGCATCAGATCGATACACTACTCGTAACGGTTTACTGTATTATACAGCCGTTTCTGGTGACACACCACTTGATGTCATTCCAGATGATACTGATCTGCTTTTGCGAATCATTTTCGAGTATCACGATGCTCCTATAAAAGACATCGTGGCCGTGAGAAAACAAATCTCACGGTGAGTCAAGACTTTTACTGGCCCCGCCAGTATCAGTTTGTGCGAAAGTATGTTCGCGCATGCGAAGTCTGCCAACGAGTGAAGTCAATTCCTTCACTGCGTGCACGATTACAGCCTCTACCGGTTCCGGCTGAGTGCTGGGAATCCATCTCAATGGATTTCGTCTTCGGGTTACCCAAAGACGCACGCGGGAATACGGGTATTCTCGTATTTGTTGACAGATTCAGCAAAATGGTACACCTTGTGGCTGTACCAGAGACAATCACGGCGAGTGGCTGTGCTTGTGTCTTTATTGACACCATCTTCCGACTTCATGGGTTGCCCCGTGAACTCGTATCAGACAGAGATCCACGATTCACTGCTGATTTCTGGCGTTCCGTGTTCAAATCACTCGGAACGCGCTTGAAGATGTCAACATCTGATCATCCAGAGTCAGATGGTCAGACGGAACGTGCCAATCGTGTCCTTGAAGAGATACTTCGAGGATACGTACACTCCTTTAAGAGTTGGAGTGAGTTTTTGCCGATGGTAGAGTTTGCCATCAACAACTCGGTGCATGCGTCCACGACACATACACCGTTTTACGTGAATGGCTTGCGCCATCCGCGTGTACCCACCTTACTAGAGTGTAACTCTGGTTTAAGGGGGGAGGGACTCGCGCGAGCAAAAACCGATTTGGTTCACGCTCATCACGCTCTGACGAAGAAGTCATTGCGTTTGATGCCGATATCGATAACATCGATATCGAAGAAGATGATGCCAGTGAGAGTGCGGAAGCCCTCACTGAAGACAATGATCCCAGTGAGAGTGCGGAAGCCCTCACTGAAGAAAAGGTTGTTGTCGCTGCAGTGCGCTCACAGCACACTGAAGCTAACGAGTCATCAGATGAGTTCATACTGGCTCGTGAAACGGTAGTCCGTTTTGTGCAAGACTCCATCGCCGAAGCGGTGGATAAGCAAAAGCAAAACGCTGACAAGAATGGAAGGGCAAACACTCTTTTATTTAATAAAGGTGACTTAGTCCTACTGTCTACGGTTAATCTACCAAAACATGTAGTGACTAACTTGGGTAGCAGTAAACTACTACCCAAGTACATTGGCCCATTTCGTGTATTGCACCGCCTAGGCAATGCATACACGATCGAGTTACCACGTAAGATGCGAACGCATCCCACGTTTTACGTTGGTCGGCTTAAGCCGTACCATCAGTACGCTGCTTCTTCCGATGAAGAACGCCCTTGCGCTCAAGCATCTCGCAGAGAGCCTTGTGCTCCCGATGGTGGGCATCAACAAGGGTCTGAAGAGCAGTTATCTCAGCCCGAGACCGATCAACAATCCCACGAGCTACCCTTAGCTCGTCACGAAGAGATGTCAGAGATCTCTCGTTCTCAAGCTGAGCAAAGGCAAACTCAGCTCGATGCTTCGAGGCAGTGTCCACCATCTGGAGACGCCTATTCCGCTCATGCTCGAGATCGTCGCGTAACCCTTGCGTTACGCGATCAAAGAAGCTCTCGGGAACACACCGATCCACATGATCGTGTGGAGAGCGTCTTTCCTCCTCCTCCACCTCCATTAGAGGACTCTCGCGGTGGCCAGCGCTATCTAGTTGAGCAGCTGTTGAACCACCGCGACGTGAACGGACGTCGGACGAGTTACCTCGTCCGGTGGCGCGGCTATCCCCCGTCCTGGGATTCTTGGGAGCCCCGCTCCCAATTGATGGTTGACGTACTGGGTCTGGTCGAGCAGTACGACGCGACACATCCTGTGCCGCAGAAGGACCGCCGGAGAAAGTCTTCCCGGCACGGTCGTAAAGGGATTTCAGGTTGTCAATCCCTTCGCACATCTCAGTAGAGACACGTACGCGCCACCACGGGCTGGTAAGGAGGTAAGCCTCCTTAGGTGCTCGTGCAGAGTTGTTCACACAACATGGGCACGAGTCTCCCCAAGAAAGGCAGGGTAATCCTTTCTCCCTTGACAGACGATGCAGCTTATAGCGTGCACCTGTCGGGGTTCGCTTTTCAAACTTATCACGAGCTTTGATAAGTTTGTCGTTCCAAGCGTCACGACCTACATCCTCGAGATTATGGATGTAGGCGTTCCACGCCTGAAGTAGTGAGGGACCATCACGTTTGTGATTCCCACTGTACCATCGATGTCTGAAGAAAGCATCGATGAAGAACTCATGTTCAGCGCGATAGTCCTTCGCGCTGGGGTCAAGGTGATGAATCCTCGACGAATCGAACAATCGTGTTCGATAACGATCACTCGTCGTCGCCTACAAGTGATCCATGACAGATTTAGGAGGCATCCATGCCTTCTTTTCTGGAGCGAGACGCAACACATTGCGGTCCCGCTCTTCCTGCGAAGTGCCGACAGAAGTACTGGCACCTCGCTGTGAAGTGGTGTCCATTGGAGAAACGACACCACTATTAGCGCCCGAGTCTCGCGACCTCGAGCGCCTTCGCTTCGGCGATGGTTCATCTGACTCATCAGATGAACCAAAGATGCTGCGACGCAAAGCATCGTCCATGCCACGCTTGGCAGGCGGCTTGGATTCAATTGCCGTCGATACGGATCCGTCATCCGTATCAGGAGAGTACGAGACACCGAGCTCGTACTCTGTGAAGACACGAGTGTCTTCATGACCAGCGCCTGCATCACCAGGTGATACAGGCTGAGTCGATTCAGCAACCGATGGGACATCAGTTGCTGTAGTTTCTGCTTCGGCGTCCGCACAGAGACGTGCAGACGCGCTCTCGGCGGCCTTGCTCGCGCATCGCATGGGCTTGTTTACCATGCGATGAGATGTTGGAAAGTGGACGCGGACCAACAAGTGCAAACCCCGTCCCAAATGATTTGGGACGAGTATCCATTTAGTCAATCAGTCACTAAAGTGACTGATGGTTAGAGGGGGTGATGTAACGGGGTGAATCGTTACATAACAATTTATAAGAAATTGTTAATAGAATATAACTATAAGAGTTATATTCTCAGAATATTGTCATAAGGACAATATTCTGTAGCACTTCAAGTAGTCCCTAATTGGTTGATATAGGCCATTATATCAACCAACGAAGACGCGCCACGACAGACGCACGCAATGAGTGGTGAGCAGATAACTGATTTACACATTTGTATTTAGACATAGTTAGATGAAGATAAATAGTGATTTATTGCAGACATTAACTATTATAAATACAGTTCTACTTTTACTCTAACCAAGTACTCGCTTCTTCTTACCGTCTTCCTCTGCACGTACGAGTGTACGTGAAG